TTCCTGCTATAAGTAAAAGCTACTCAATAATCATAGGTAACTTTTACCAGCTAATCTGCAGCAAGCAAATAAGTAATGTCTTTTATAATTATAAGCTTTCAATCTTTGCAGTATTTAATAAACACGACCATGTTACTTTGTTGATTAAATGAAAAGGCAAAGTAACATACTACTCTGATAACAAAAAAAAACCACGCAAGCGTTTATAGTCTTTCTTCACAATACAAGAGCAGAATGTAGTTAATATCTACAAGTGGCTATTCCACATATCCATTTTACCATCTTTGGAAAGAGAATATAGTGGCTGTGTTGTTATTTAGATAAATTATATGTGGCTTGAATGCTGTTAGCGGAGATTTCAAGCAATGACTCTAGCAATTCTACCACTAAAAACCCCCGCAGAAACACAACACCTTAAACACCAAAAAGACAGCACTGTCACGATCTTTAGTTGTCCGTGAGGTCCATAACTTCAGCATGGGTTGCATCCGCATATTAACTTTACACATTTCTATTTTATAGAAGGATTTACAATATTCAAGAATTTTCCACACAGAATTTTTTGAAAATCCGGTCCTTTTCTCCAACACTTTGGTTCACATTTTTGTTCACTGAGAGTGTATAAATCATTTATTCTTCTTTTATCAATTTTGACCCAAAAAAAAAGGTATTTTATGTAGAGCGTGGAATCCTTAACCTTGTGTGTACTCTGTAGTAAAGCTGTATTTTAGAAAATATAAAGTGCATAGGTCTTACGATTTGAAGCTTTACATGTGAGGTGTCATCTGTTCTCATTCATGTTACACTTGTTAGAGTCCAAACAGGGTATTCCGAGCATATCACGCGCTTTGGATGTCTTTGTATTTTTTTTTTAAGAATAATTTGGACAACATCATGTTTTGCTGTATGGCGCATCTGTATGACACCTGAATTTATTTGTTAGCATCGTTTGCATCAGAGGCTTGGCGTTGGGAAACTTTGGAGAATCCTACAGCTAACCATATTTCTTTATATTGCTTGCATAATGGCAAACACCATTACTTTTTTTTTTTTTTTTTTGCTTTTTATATTTTCTTTTTTGATTGTAGACTACAAGTGTAAAAAAAAAGCCATCTTTTGACAACGTACAAGGCAAGAGCAAATGACTACGGCGATTTACTCCATCGAGGTACCAGGTGCGCCTGTGGTTCCTGGAGAAACTAAGGTATGGATTTCTACAGACACCATATTTTAGTGGAAACATACATGGTAGCTTCAGAACATTGACGACTAATTTCAAAAGGCATCCTTGTCTAACCACTATTTGCACTTGGAGTTTGGCCACTTGTGTAGCCGCGAATCGACTCTATTAATGTGGATGGCAAGTTGACAACAAACATGGATGGAGTTAACAATATGCACGACAATCTCCTGTTGGGTATGAAACTAGCAGGACCCAACGCTCGGTGCCTTGGGTATCGGCCAATGAATGGCAACAACGAACCTGGACCATACAAATGGATGACATTTAAAGAAGTCAAGGAGAGTGCAACAGATATTGGCTCTGGATTTACCAAGCTCGGAGCAAGCGCAAAGTCGCGTGTCGGCATCTTCTCAGCAAACCGCATCGAGTGGTCGCTTGTTGATTATGGATGCTGCGTTTACGGGCAGATATCCGTGCCCATGTATGACACGCTTGGCATGGAGGCGGTAAAACACATGGCTGAGGAGACTGAAATGGTAGTTATAGCAATTTCGCCCGAAAAACTGACAGAGTTTTTAAAGCTGTGGGCGGACCTTCCGCTGGTAAAGACGGTGGTTGTGTTTGGAGAAATTCCGAAAGAAAGTGTCGCATTGGCTCCTGAGGGCGCGCAGCTGATGACCCTTGATAATTTAATGGAGCTCGGAAAGAACGACGGACATGCACCATTACCTGAAATATCAGCTGGACCCAGCGATGCTTACACTATATGCTATACTTCTGGGACCACAGGTAGGCCCAAGGGCGCAGTTCTCTCACACATGTGTTTCTTGTCCACAGTGAACGCTGCACGTAACAGAATCAATCACGGCCATATTCCGACGCTTGACAACTCGGATGTGCATCTGTCAATTCTTCCTCTGGCGCATTGTTTGGAGCGTTGTATTCACGCAATTCTTTCGGGAAATGGAGCCCGCATTGGATTTAATCAAGGAGATATGCGCAAGGTAGTAGAAGACATTGGGGAGTTGCGTCCGACAGTCCTTGTTGGTGTTCCACGCATTTTTAATCGTATCCATGATCAGGTATGGGCGCAGGTAAAAGCCAGGGGTGGCATAGCAAGTTCGTTATTTAGCTATGCCCATGGTGTGAAGCGTGCAAATTTAAAGATGGGCTCCAACACACATTGGTTGTGGGATCGCGTTGTTTTTAAGGCAGTGCGAGAGCGGTTTGGTGGACGTTTGCGTTTGGTTATATCTGGTGCTGCTCCCATCTCTGCTGATGTTTTGGACTTTTTACGTGTCACTCTGTCGACGACAGTGCTTGAGGGATACGGAATGACAGAGGTCACTGGTCCATCTGGTGTCACATACGGTGGTGATATGCAGGCAGGTAGCGTTGGCCCTCCATTGGGTAACTCCATGTACAAGCTGGTTAGTGTGCCTGATATGAATTACAAAGTCGATGACAAGCCTAATCCTCGGGGTGAACTCTACATCAAAGGTAACAGCACTTTCTCAGAATATTACAAGCAACCTGAACTGACTGCTGAAACGATAGATACCGATGGATGGATAGCAACTGGTGATATTGGTACTTTCAATGAGCACGGAAACTTTGTGGTTATCGATCGCAGAAAGAATATGTTCAAATTGGCACAAGGCGAGTATGTAACTCCTGAACGTATTGAGATTATTTATACTGACTGTCCAGTCATTGAACAGATTTATATACATGGAGACTCGCTACAAAGCACTCTTGTTGCTATACTTGTTCCAAACGAAGAATTTTTAAGACGGGAAATTGAAGGTAGTTTTACCATTTCCGAACGTGCTTCTAAGCCTTTAAATAACCTCTGTATGGATCAAGATGTTGTTCAATTGATGATGAATATTGTAAAGTCGTGGGGTCAAAAGAACGATTTAAAGGGATTTGAGATTCCAAAGGCTGTCTACCTTGAATCTGATCCCTTTTCAGTTGAGAACAACATTATGACTCCTACTCTTAAGGTCAAACGCTTAGCTGCTAAAGCACGCTATTCACAGATTATAGCAGAACTTTATGCAAAGTCTAACTCTGACTCTGCTTAACTTTTATAATCTGTATTTTTCTCTTTTCTATTTACGTCGCTCTCTTTATTTTAAAAAAAAAAAACACACACAACTTGCTAAAAGTCTATTTAAGACAGCATATGAGAATTCTATCAATAATAATATCCATTTTTAATTGCTAATTTTATCGAGAAATCTTCTAAATATATGTGAGCACAGTTTAATTATCCCGTAAACTAACATAAATGTAGTTTCACCGTTTAACACTTGTGCAAATGTAATTGAAAAGTCATTAACTTTTGTTTTAAACAACTAAATTTGATAGTGTTTCTTTTAAATATTACAAAAAAAAAAAAATACATATAACAAAAAAAACGGTTTAATGCGCTATTGATGAAAGGCCAAAGAAGTATCCTTCTTTTGCTTTTTTTATTTATGCTTTGTGATTTTTTTCTTGCAGTATTAATTGTTTTGCTTTCTTGAATAAAAGGTAGTCTATAGTCGCTTTTTGGCAAAAGACGCTTCTTATAAGATGTTATAAAAAACAAAAGAAAGTTTTTTCTTTTAAAAGCCTTAAAAATCCCCTTGTCACTTTTTTTATTTAACAAAAAAAAAAATTCTACCAAATGTTTTACTATTGTTTTTTATTACAGTTTTTTTTTTATTTTCGGTTAATACACGTTTTTTTCACTAACATAACTGTATTAAACATACAATATCGATTAAAAAAACAACAAAAGTATGATTCATAGTTCGTTTAGAGTAAAGTGTGTTAGAATACATACTACATTAGCACTTTTAATATTTATGGGAGCTTCAATTGCTCGTATAGTTGCACTTGTCGATGTTGCTTTTGCTTTTGGTATGGTAATTATTTCTCAAATGGCACGTTTAACTATTACTAGTGTATGGTGTACTTTTTTCTTGCCATATGTTACTTGGACAGCAATGGCTTCAAATCGTCATTTTTTTGGTCAATTTAGAGGTTGGAGATATATGGCTGTTGGTGCCTTTCTACTTATAATGTCTGTTATTCAACTAGGTGAACCTACACTTTCTGTCTTATATGCTGGAAATGACGGTATTAATGCTCAACTTGCAAATAAAAAGGAACATTATGGAAATAATGTAAAAGCATTTCACGTCTTTTTATTTAGCATTGGTGCAATTCTTCATGCTTTTATTACTGGGTGGTTTTTAATAGTCATTTCATTCCTCTTCCGGAATTTGCGCAATATTTAAACGTTTTTGTAATATTCTAGTTGTGTCAAAAGGATGATAAACTTGTACTTTATAAATTAATAGTAAAAAGTAATATTTTCATCCTTTATTTCTTGTATAACTCTGAATCATTAGCTGCAGTCAATTTTTTGTCAGTAAATTTTTTTTATTTTGGCTACACATTGTAACGTATCAGCGCATTACCTTTCATTTTTTTTTTAAAAAAAAAATACAACTTAATACTTAGTGTAGCACTTGTTCCATTTTTTACATTATAATCGAGTAATGAAATAAACTTGTCCCAGTTGCGAAAGATGGCAAAATATTCAATGATGTGCTTAAAGGCAACCGCGGGATGTAATCACACCAAGCATCATTGTAAAATTAATATGTTTGCTATAAATACCGCACAAAAATAAATGTATTACTGCATAAATATAAAAAAGAAACCGACATCAACTCTTTTAAAAACTAAGGCTTACCTCAGCTAAAAAAAAAAAAACAAGTTACGCACATATAATCTGTCAAAAGTTGACAAAAACAAAAAGTGATGAGAGTGGGATTCGAACCCACGCCTAATGATAGACCACGGCCTTAACGTGGCGCCTTAGACCGCTCGGCCATCTCACCTGAAAGCTGTTTCACCCTCTTCTGATTGTGTTGTCGGACTGTGTAAACAGCGCCGACAAAACAGACGGAAACAGAAGGGATCAAAGAAAAGGGAGAAAACAGAGGAATCGGGAGTGAGACTATAAAGGTGTTTATTGGAATATCGTCGTCGAGGAGTCTGAGTTATCCTCGGCATCTTGCTTAGCAACGACCCTTTTTATAGTCGTTCTAAGGCAAGGTCAAAAGAAAGAGAAAATAGGAAAAAGAGTAAGAAAATGGTAGATGTTGTTTACACAACATAGAACTTATTGCGATCGGCGGGTTGCGGGGATTACTACGGGAATTCCGTTCTCTGCTACAAAGGGACGATCAGTCGTCGCGGAGTTGAAAGGGGACGGTCCCGATCTACGGTCTGTGAGATCGGCGGCGTAGATGATCGGTTGGTTGTTGCGAGTGCGGGGCTTGGCGGCTCAGATGGTTCACTCAGAGGCTCGGTCGGGACAGCGTGTTCTGTTGGTTCACCAACAATTGCAAAATATTGTAAATAATTGTAATTCTAAAACTATAGCAAAGTGTATATCAATTTTTTTTTTGTGATGTTAGCTAACACGTAACTTTTATATTTAACTCATTAATACAATTTATTCAATCAGTGCAATAGAACCAGAATTTTTCACAGGACAACAATTGTTATTTATTATACGTGTAACAGTAACAACTATCCTATTCTGGGCACTTATTTTAAATAAAAACACACGAACATTATTTTCTAATATTTTGATTTGGTTTAATATTCAACTTTTAGAAATGTTTATGGAAAAGTTATTTGTTTGGGATTTTAAAAGATGCAATGGCTACAGCAATTCCTGTCAAAAAGGTGTAGTTGTTAATTGCAACGTTAGCATCGAAAGCCACATATGGATCTACAGTGCTATAGAATCCATCACTTATTCCCAAAACACTGGTAATTCCTTCTTTTCCAATATACAAGGCTGATAGCAAAGGATCCCCGTACTGAATCAGAGGTATTACAGTCATGAAAAAGGCAATGGTTCTGAACTTGGATTTTCTGCGTTTGCGCGCCTTGATAGGAAACTTACTATTACCAGACCACCATGTATATATCATAAAAAACAAAGACCAAACAGCGATTGCAATAGCTCGAGCAGCCTGACTGTCAATAACATAACCAGCACGTCCCTGTAGTGCCCATATAATAGCCATCCGAAGGGCACCTCCTATTCCACAACCAATAAGGACTAGTGTCAAATATAGTTTATAAAACCTTAGTACGGTTTTCATTGTGGTTTAAAGAAGCAATGTCAATATAAAACTGTCAACAGCCTTTTGAAACTTTAATTGCTGTACTAGTATATAAAAAAAAAGCAAGCAAGCTATACACAAGAGTAGACAGCGATGACTTTATTACTTAAAAATATAAATATACAGAGTAGAGTAAATGAGTTTGGAGTGTATTATGTTCAGTGGAAAATGGCAAACCTTAAATAGAACAACAGAAAAGGTTCAAGTAAAGCATTAGTATATATTTCTTTGGTTTTGTTGGGTAAAAAGAACTAGTCAAGTTTTCTAAAATATAGGCGGACGATATTTGTCGCATAGTAAAAGACCGTCGCTTGGCCTAAAAAATACTGAGCTTTGATAAATAGAAAATCAATATTTTCAAAACTTGGCAAACTAATGCTTTGGCCATGTCTTGCGCTAACATGCTTTATTTAAAAGGTCAACCATGTGGTTTTTTTTTTTTGCCAAGGATTTTGTATATATTAAAGAATAGTAGAGTTTCCTAGTCTTAACGTTGTGTATTTATCTTGTTATACACGCTGCCATTTTGCAGCAACATATTCACGACAAAGCTCAATATACCACAGGGCTGATGCCCATACTAGCAGTTACAATATTATTGTATTATGTGTTACTTTCTCTGCAAAAGCCAACACTTAAGGGTAGTTTCCTGACTTTAAAAAGGCTTTTGGTTTATCCTGTTGTTTACTTATTTGCGCTCGTGTCTGCTGATCAGCTAGCAAACCACCAAGTCCAAGCTGTTAGATTTATTTGGATGATACTTCAACCAAGCTGCAGAGTTCCAACATCAACACAAAGAATGGTAGCGAATGCTTTTTCTATTATTGAGGTTGGGAGCCGTCGTTACCGAGTACGCACAGAACTTTCAGAGGGCATCAATAATCGTACTGGGAATAGTGGAAAGCAAACTATTGACAAAACGAGTGACAGAAGTGAAAAACTCAGTCGGCAATCAGTTCACATACCGCGACAGCTACACAAGTACATTATTGGTGCACGTGGGAGTACTCTGGAGAGATTAAAGTCACAGTCGCGCGCAAAGATTACTATTCCAGCCGAACGAAATAAAAGTGACCTTATCGAGATTGAAGGGTCGGTAGATGAGAGAGCTAAAGCTGAAGAGTTAATTTCACAAGTGATTGAGAAAAACCTACGCAATGTACCATATACACATTTTATTTCTCTGCCGTTGATGGATGCGGGTATGCAGCGAAAGATTGAGGAGTTTCAAAATGATGCCAAGCAAAGGTTTCTACGTACTGTTGATAATTCAGGGTTTGTTCATCCTGGATCTTTACACATAACACTTGGGATGTTGCGTTTGCTGACACCAGACAAAGTATCTGAAGCTGTTGAACTTCTTAGAACACTAAGCAATGAGATGCATGAAATTCTTGGTTTGCGACCGCTTGTGGTAAAGGTGGGACGTCTGGCTACAATGGAGTCCGATGTCACTAAAGCACGTGTTATTTACGCTAACGTTGAGGACTTTTCAGGGGCGGATGACGATCGTCTACAGCGACTGTGTGTCTTTGTTAGGGACAGTTTTGATAGAAAGGGATTTATTGACGAGGACCGTCCCCTCAAGATACACGTAACCTTAATCAGAGCAAAAACAGGACAGTCAGGGAGCGCCGATGAGATGAAGGCGGCAGTAGCAACTCCTGAGCAAACGGAGGGTACAGAACAAAGAAAGGGCAAAGTACGTGGCGGGTTTTCTGTCAATGCTGGGCCACTGCTGAAAGAATTGGGAGGATTGTCGTTTGGAGTTTGTCGTCTGGGGCAGATTCAAATAGCACGTAGATTTCGCCATGCTTCAAATGGTGCGTATGAAAATGACGGCTCTGTTGCACTTCCATGAATGGTAACGTAACGAATCCTGGCGGCTTATGACGTTTGAGTCACTTTATGTTGCTGTGGAGTGGTGCAGCTGACATGCTTGTTTTGCTCTCTTCGAGTACAGAAGGCAAATCTACTTGGCATCTCCTTTGTGGATCATGGCGATCTTCAATCCTTGCTCTTTCTTTCAAGCCATCTGCGATACTCGGCCCAGAGTATAATATCTGCAGGCTAAACTTCGAGCACTGCCGAATGGCTTTTTCTCTCCTTTATTTGTATGTTTTTTTTTTCTTCTGTCTTTTTTTGCGACAAGGCTCATAGAATTCATCTACTCATATTGTAATAGACCTGCTGTATCGCTTCTGTTTTGCTTCAATACAAATCTCGATAGGCTTATAAGAGCGAGTAACTGCGTCGCTGTCCGTCCGCTTACATTATTGTGCAGGTTGTGGCTGAGAACAAGAGACGCGGATATCCAGCACAATGTACAGAAGGAACGCGTATTCTATACCTGTATCCAATGCCCCGGATATCAAGAACGAGACAATGGTAAGCTTGTTGCATAGCTGTGCGGTTATTTGGGCTGTACCTGCTCCCTGCCAAACAGCATACGATGCCATTGACAACTACTTATATCTCAGCTCATAACTACCATACTGGAGTAACAATTGCTTGACTCTGGTGGTGGGGGGGGGTTTTTTTGATGCTATCTATTTTGCAAATATAGCCGGTGCTTAACCGTAACGCAGTTGATGACCAGCTGCTATTTGGCGCTGACAGTATGGCCACTGTGTACGACAACTTTTTATTGGGGATGAAGAAAGCAGGAGGATGTAAGTATTTATAGAAACAGAAGCAGTCAGGATATTGTGACAAACGGGCCTACCGCGCTTTGGAGACAAGAATGGCAGTGTAATGGACAGTATGCAGAAACTAACATGCTCGCATATTATGTTTATGTTTCCTTGAGTGTATAGCTGAAACGCGGATATTTGGATACAGGGAAAGTACAAAAAAAGGCGACAACACCATAGGCGACCTAAAGTGGATGACTTTTGGCGATTTCCACGATCGGTTTCGGCATCTTTCGCGAGGATTCCGGGGACTGGGGCTTCGGCCCGGCGATAATATTGGAATATTTTCGGGAAACAGTATTGAATGGCCATTGGTAGAATTTGCAACATACTACCAGGGTTACATATCTGTTGCCATTAATGAAAGCATCAGTAAAGCACATGCCGAGTATATAATAAGTTTTACTGAGCTTACAACTGTAATTGCAAGCGCTGCGTGTGCAAAGAGGCTGATAGATATGCGTGAGCAGATTCCAAAAGTCAAAAACGTGGTTCTGATGCAGTCTGCGCCACAGAGTCTAGTTGACCGGCTTATTGAACATGGATTGCAAGTGTTCAAAATGGTGGATGTTGAGGCATATGGACGGGATACGCGCGAAGAGAGGTTTAAACAGCCAACTTACGATGATGTGGCAACTATTGTATTTACTTCGGGGACGACGGGCATGCCAAAGGGTGCTATTTTGACACACGGGTGCATTGTGTCTTCAATTGCGGGTACAAATTTTATTATGGAGAACAAGGATCTGACACAATTAAGCGTTCAAGATTGTAGTGTCAGTATACTTCCACTATCACATATGCTTGGACGTCTGGCAATGCATGCAATGATAGCTACTGGATGCAGAATAGTATTTCCGCGCACGGCACCCGAGGAGTTGATCGAAGACTTGTGTGAAGTCAAACCCTCTGTAATAATCGGAGTACCAAAGTTTGTCAATCGTGTGCAGGACAAAACAATGCATGCAATAAAGGGGAAGGGTGGATTAGCAGGATCTATATTTC